ATCAAGAAAAGCTAACCACGTACGCATTTAGGGTTATTGGCCTTCATCAGCGTGATGTGCAAGCTATACCTAAAAAAATATATCATTCAGGTATCCTGAAGTGTAAATTATATTCACACTACGTTATCTCGTATGACTTCAATATAAAGTTCGTTTTTATCAAATAACTTTCAGAGTTATTGTCTGAATCTCGATATACATGCTAAAAGGTACAACTTCCTTGAGTTTTTTCTATGAATGTATTTATTGATTTGTCGTTTAATCCTTTTATATTTTAAGTAGGGGGTCGGTGGAAGGCTGGTTAAACCGTTTGGTTTTCGACCACTAGGACCCGGGTTCGATTCCCGCATTGGACACTTTTTTCTGTTTTAAAAAAATGCTCCAATGGCCCCCGATTCTTGCAAAAGTCCAACCCCACCAGCGAGTGCAAGTAACCAAACGGGCTCTGGCATTTGTAAGTGCAAAGTCGAACTGCTTTTCACATGTGTAGACATATGGTGCGCTTACAGTAAAAAAGCAGTCGCTAACTACCCACCATGATTATCATGGCCTGTACCACGTGTACTAGGGATAAGCAAAAAAAATATATTTTAAGTTATACAATTTTACCAATGTAGAAAATACACATCATTAATATATATATACTTGAATAAACCCGGTTTCTTATGGAGGTGACTCTACACTGTACATTACCATTCCATAATTTTAAAAAATAAAGTTTACATCTAATATGTTAAATTTATTATTATTGTGTGCTAAATGTAGGTTTAATAGAGTCATGGGAATTGGCTTTCTATTATATTCAGTTTAATCAGGTTGTTTTTTAAATAAAAAATAACCATTGAATAATAAGGATGTTGTTGAGTTCTATGCTGCCTGGAATATAGGAGCTCCATCTATGCATCCTTCCTGTGGTGAATATGTATAAGACAGGTGGTCTTAATAAAGCTGTATGTGTGTGTTTAGAGAATTTGGTTTAGTAATTAATATATTCGCACTAGCAAGTTTATGAACCTGTCCTAAAATGGAGTATACGTTTACCTTGATAAAGGCAGCAGTTTAAAATGGCTTATTGGTCCGAAAACTAGGCAAGCACAGATACATGTCGTTTTAAAGTGAAGTATTGAATTGGATTCACAAAGGGAAAGATATTTCCAAAAAAAAAATCAAAAAAGGTGGATCGTAAACATACAATGAAAAAAATGTTTGTGCAAAGTCGAACTGCTTTTCACATGTGTAGACATGTGGTGCACTTGCAGTAAAAGCATTCGTCAACCTCTACCTACCATGATTATCATCGCTTGTACCAAGTGTACTAGGGAAAAGAGAAAAAAACAATGGGAAAAAAACGAATCTGATTATTTATCATAATGACAATAATGATGATATCATCATCACCCCATGTGGATGATCATCCACATCAGAATAATTTTTATCTCTTCGAAATATTAAAGAATCCAAAGATATGGGCAATATCATATTCTGACCATAGTAATAGCGAATCTTATACCAGGATCAAGTCTCATAATAGTTAACAATGAGTCAATATATCAGAATTAGTTACCATAGTGAGATTTGACAAAGACATGAGAGGTGTGTGTACCTAACTGCTAGAGGACCCCTATCTTAACTCGTATTTGTAGTTTATTCCATGTTGTATCCATGGCAACGCGCAATCACTTGTATTAGATCGTTCAAAACATCACATGTTTACATCAATTATGTATAGGGAGAGGTGATAAAAATATAAATAGAGATATGAGGAATATTTACATATTAAATGTGTCGTAAACATAAATAATTAACGGATAACTAAAGGCAGATTGGAATTTATTGTCATAGCTAAGAACAAAACATAGAGAAGTAGAATGGATAGATTTGAGCAATAGTTATTTCTATTCCCATATAGAGAGCTGAGATGTATAATCAATAGAATGGATCGTCCCGACTCTGTAGTCGCTACAGTCGGTGGATGTTTTTATAGCCAGAGGTACACGCTAGGGGGGCTTTCAATAAGGAATGAAGTTTATATTACTTACTACCCTATGTCAACAAGGTTATATCTGAGATTGCTATAGCAGGGAAGCCCCCAGGAGATCCTTGGAACGGTGCCAGGACCAAATTAAAGTGCAGCTAAAATGGTCTGGAAGCTTTGATTGATGGATTCACCTGGGTAATTTAGCTGCTCTGATACGGTCTTCTCAACTTGTTACTTCCTTGTCACACTGTCTATTTGTAGGTCTCATTAGCTGTCTGTTTGTTTGTCTCGTTATCTGTTTGTGTGTTTACCTATCTCCCAGCTATGTGCTTATCTGTTAAAATGTCTACCTGTCTATATATTGATGTGTTTGTCTATTAAATTGTCTATCTGTATGTGTATTTACCTGTTCGGCTATTTATTTGTCTGTTAAATTTTCTATCTGTATGTGTATTTATCTATTTGGGTATGTGTTTGTCTGTTAAAATGTCTAACTGTATGTATATTTACACCTATTGGGCTATATATTGTGTTTGTCTGTTGTTTTGTCAATTTTCCTGTGTATTTATATAATATAATCGGGACTTTTGGGTGATGGTTTGATTTGGTTGTCGTAAGTAGTAGTAGTAGTAAGACCCTGTGGACTTACTTGGTGGTTGATGTGGGCGCAGTCGTTTTGGCGGAAATGGTAACGTTTTCTCACAGGGGAAAATAACGAGACAGGATACAGGATTGGATTGAGAAATAGGCTAGCGATCAAGGGAGAGAGGGGTTAGACTATTGACGTATTGGACTGATGGCTAGATTATTCACATTTTGAGATTAGACTTATCTGGATGATGAAAAGGGCTTAAGCGTACTGCTTGCTGTGTTGTCCCGCTCTTGACTCCTTGCAATGGTGTCGAGCTCCTAACTGATTAACTTGAGTCCGAGATTAAACTCGTTAACTCTTCAGTGCTCTCATTGGATGATTCTCGTCTCGTGGCGGTCTCTGATTGGATCTTAGCTAGTCCTGCTGGACTCTGATTGGATCTTAGCTAGTCCTTTGTCTTTGTCATGTTTTAACATGCTCCCGGAAGAAGAAGGTTTTTGAACTCAGTTTTATTAGTTCCTGGGTAATAACTTTTGCTTCCTGGATAATGAAAACCTGTTAATGATTGTTTCTTCTCTGATGGCCTTTCTCCCAGATTCGCTAGGCCTAACCTTTATTAAAATCTTTAGATCATACATTGCATATATATTGTGGTGGGGTTACATCTAGTTATATACAAATTATGACATTTATATATTTGGCTACGTGTTTGTCTGTTAAGATGTCTATTTGTCTGTATTTGTTTTCGTATATTTATATATTTTTAAATGTTTTTTATTAAATTATTTATCTATGTGCATTGTCTGTGTATTTATATATTTGTTTTGTGTTTTTTAGTTGAATTGCATATATATGTGCATTTGTCTGTGTATTCATCTATTTGGCTATAGGTTTGTCTGTCGAATTGTTCTATATATCTCTCTGTTATCGTATGTTTCTATTCACCTATTTATTCAACTATCCTTTTGTCAATTCGTCTATTTAGATTGTCTATTTTTAAAAATATTTATGAGGGAGATAGAGAGATTAAAATATTTCAAGATGTGTCATTCATTACAAACTCCATTTATCACAATATTAGAGAACGACTCTTAATTCAATGCAATCAGTGATCTTGATAGCAACATGTGAGTACATCAAAGGATGTCGATAGCTGACCAATGGTACCACCAGTAACCACGTGACTAAATATTTCAGGTCATCTGATTGGCTGACGACGGCTGCTCTATGATTGACACGGTCTACTCCATTATTCACACCACTTCCGGTTTTCTGGGTCACTACTCTTGATTCTTTGACAATTCCTCCAGGTGAGGGCATCACCCTCTAAACTCTCCATTGATATATATTTTTGGTGGTTTCTCTTTATATACATAATTACACGAGATAACGTTTATAATATACTAGCGGACGTACCCGGCTTCGCCCGGGTTTTACCCGAGTAAAGGTTTGTCTAACGAATCTCTCGATAAAGTGAACATTTTTTCCCGGTCCCTTGAAAAAGACTCGATAAGTTGAATAAAATCATTATTAATTGGTTCCCTCGGTAATTGGAAGTTAAAGGAATAGTATCTTGCCTTGGAATTGTATCATTATTCTTGTCTCAAAGAAATTGCCGTGTCATTCTGAATTTGTCTTTCCTAATTTTCTACATTACAAAATCATTGTATCATCATGATAATATTTAGAGCAGATTGTTGAATTATAACAGATAAATTAGAATATTTATCTTGATTATTTCTAGGCGAAAAGTTATTTCAAAAATTTTATTTGCTAGAAACCTTCCCAGTACTATACTAAATAACTTCCCAAAGTTTCATGGCGTTCCAATGAGTGGTTTGGTCAGGCATAAAGGACAAACAGACACACACACATACATTCATTTTTATATATATACTAGCGGATGTGTACCCGGCTTCGCCCGGGTTTTATCCGAGTGAAAGTTTGACTAACGAATATTATATATTATGAAGTATAATAAACAATGCTAAAGATTAGTTTTAATTATTAATCAAGATTGTGTGTGAATATGTGAGAAAGATGTAATATCGTTGTTGTTTTCTTGGCCGACTGTTTTACATATGGTGTTATCTTAAAATTGCTTGTTTTGAATATTTTTTTAGATTGAGTTGAATGAATTGCTGATTTTTTTTTGTATTTATATATAAATAAAATTAACTCTTGAATTTTTTTTTGTATTTTATCGATAATAGCAAAGTTATGTATTTTAAAGTTAGGAAAAATATTTTGATGTTAAGCAAAACCTGCTCCATCTCGTTTTACATAAATGTTGAAAATTTGGTCGAAATTGATGCATTGTAACGAAAGTTTTTAGCGAACACCACTTATGAAATTTCCATTTATATAGAAGATTGCATTTTATTAATATAGATATAATATAAATGAGTTTTAAAAATTGTTTTAAAAAAATGCATCAGCCGGAAATCGAACCCTGGCCGCCCGCGTGGCAGGCGAGCATTCTACCACTGAACCACCGATGCTTTAAAAAAATCAAATTCATTTATCGTCGCGACCAGTGCTGCGCCCTAGCGGTAAAAGACTGGAACTAACGCTTTTTGGTTTTTTATTTTTAAAAAAAAGCACATTAACTTTTTTAGTTTTTTGAATAGCCTATATGTTAAACGAAATCTTCAGCTACCTACATGCGAAATTCCATAATGATTGAGTCAGTAGATTTTGCGTGATGCGATAACAAACATCGATTTCGCATTTCATTTTTATATATATAAGGAAGGATAAATAATATTTAGGTATGAGGAACCTTTCGTTAATGGCAGCTTCGCCAATTCAGAGCTAAATGTGAAGGCAAACATTTTGCCAACTTCATATCTTATATGGAAAAGTACGAAAAGAATTACAAGCTTTTCTATACTATTATTTAAAAAACGATGCGCTTATTTTCAAGTGTGTCAATATTATTCTCTCTATTTCGATTATCGTTATTATTAATATATATAATCAATACACAGTTTCAGGGATATACAATCTTCCAATATAACAGTAGAGCTCTGAAAAGTGGCATAGTAGATTAAATTGGCGAAACCTCTTGAAGGATTCGCTATTGATGAGCAAGAAGGCCTTCCTACAATATTTTCATAGCAGTAAGAAAAGCAAAAAGCTTGTTTTATTTGAAAAATAAAAAACAACTTGATAATTGTATTTCGTATATACAACTTTATATCTAACGCGATATACTTAAACAAATAATAGACAATCTGGAAGGGGGTTGTCACACCAAGTTACTTAGTTGAAAACCTCATTTACATAGAAAGAAAAAGTTGCATAAGGTTTTCTTCATAAGATGGGTGTCATCTTGTGTGTGTGGAAAGGAATATATTTGTAATTAAGAAAGACCAAATTGATTTCGTTTATTAAACAATATATAAAATCAACAAACAGTCCAGTGCCAGGTTCCTTCAGTTATTTTCATTTCTTTAGCTTTCGGCGGGGCAACATGCCCTTCATCAGAAGAACTAGAAGTATAACTTCCAGCTAACCATACACTTCCAAGTCATACTTCTCCTGTTGAAGGGCATATTGGCCCCCGAAAGCGAGAGAAATAAAAATAGTTAAAGAAACCTGACCCTGGATTGTTGATTTATTATATTGTAAGGGCATGAATAATTGTTGAGATAAGTTTTTATTTGCTTGTAAAGGACTACGAGTATATTTATGATATTGTTTTGCAGTCGTGGAATCTTAGAAAAGATAATAAAGAAACTTCAAATCACAATTTGTTTTAATTGTGCTAATGAAAGAATTAAAGAACAAATACCTGATTTGAGGCGTAAGGAAGAAAATAAAAGATTAAATATTTACATATGTACAAAAAGATTTGAGCCGGCCAACGGGAAAGAGAATATGGTTTTACAGGGTGACGGGGAACAGGAAACAACAACAATGGGTTTATAAAGGGACATCTGGTGGTCGACTTAACAGAGTAGTTTTTGTTCTAAAAATTATCATTTTAAAATAAAATAATTTTTATATATTATATATTTTTTTCCAATGTTTTTTAGATGTGTCAAGCGTATTTACGCAAGTTTGGCCTTAAATACCCATTTCTTGGTTTCTCAAGAAGCCTCTGAGACCAAAAATCTTTTTGATCGCAGTGGTACAGCCTACTCTACCCTGACGAGCGCCAACAGCGCAAAACGCGTTCGTGGATGGCTTTTCTTGATTTATCAATAAATTGGGTTGGCCAAATGTCAGGGAACAGGCTAAATCAATGTTTAGTTGATTTCTGGTCCACCAGATGGAGCTCTGCCTACTGAAAAGCACATGTGCTCCTGGTCAGAATATGCCTTTTTTATTTTTAATATACATATATATATGTACCATTTTGGGGTATATGTTTATATATAGACGGTTAGAGATAATAAATCCTTCCATAGCGATCAATTCTCAGTGTTTCCATGTCATTATTAGATAATTGGAGGAACCAACCATCTAATTATTTATTATCTAGGATAAGATAGAGAGAATTAAACTAACCAGGTTTTTACTATCACAACAAGGAGTTAATAGATTGGGGTGGTAAACACGCGAGGCTGAAATTTACTGGAATTTTGCTCCATTTTTTCAGAAGATGACTCAGCTAACATTGGAGGAGAGAGGATTGAATGGATGACGTAGTGTCACCCACGTATACACCAGAGAAAGGAAAAACTCATGAATATTTAAAAGGAGAGTTTAAAATTATTATATTAATAGCAATACAGAAAACCTAACAGCAATAATATTAAAAAATGGAATTTATTCACCTTAAAATTAAATGTTATCCTTTTATATATGTACCAAAATTGAGAGAGATATCTCTGCCTTTAAATATACATTAAAACATTGCATCTTTTCTTCACCCGAGTAAAAAACGTATTTTTATATTTTAATTTTGACGGGAGAGGCGACCCTTATCTCTTTAGATCAATATCCTCCCGGCAAAATTTCCATAGATATCTATATATATAAAATTGAATGTCTGTCTGTTTGTTTGTTTGTTTGTACTCTTTAGATTCAAAAACCATACATCCAATCGCCGTGAAATTTTGGGAAATTATTAGGTATATCACCGGGAAGGTTTTTCAAAAATAATTTCATGAATATCTTGAATATCCTTAGAGTTACTTGCAGATTTGTAGATTTAACTCGCAAGCAGCGCCCCCATTGTGACGATGATAACAAGTTTTCTTATCACTAAGTTTGTTATCTTAAACATTATTTATCAAAAGTAAGATTATCTCAGGATGACACGGCAATGTGACACGGGAAAAAATGTTCACTAGATAAAACTATGATTTTCTATATGATATAAAAAGCCAACAATGAAGAGTGAATGTAATATAAAAAGCCAACAATGAAGAATGAATGTAAGATAAAAAGCCAACAATGAAGAGTGAATGTAATATAAAAAGCCAACAATGAAGAATGAATGTAAGATAAAAAGCCAACAATGAAGAGTGAATGTAAGATAAAAAGCCAACAATGAATAGTAAATGTAATATAAAAAGCCAACAATGAAGAATGAATGTAAGATAAAAAGCCAACAATGAAGATAAATATAATATAAAAAGCCAACAATGAAAAATGAATGTAAGATAAAAAGCCAACAATGAAGAGTAAATATAATATAAAAAGCCAACAATGAAGAGTGAATGTAAGATAAAAAGCCAACAATGAAGAGTAAATGTAATATAAAAAGCCAACAGAGTGAATGTAAGATAAAAAGCCAACAATGAAGAGTGAATGTAATATAAAAAGCCAACAATGAAGAATGAATGTAAGATAAAAAGCCAACAATGAAGAGTGAATGTAATATAAAAAGCCAACAATGAAGAATGAATGTAAGATAAAAAGCCAACAATGAAGAGTAAATGTAATATAAAAAGCCAACAATGAAGAATGAATGTAAGATAAAAAGCCAACAAAGAAGAGTAAATATAATATAAAAAGCCAACAATGAAGAGTGAATGTAAGATAAAAAGCCAACAATGAAGAGTAAATGTAAGATAAAAAGCCAACAATGAAGAGTGAATGTAATATAAAAAGACAACAATGAAGAATGAATGTAAGATAAAAAGCCAACAATGAAGAATGAATGTAAGATAAAAAGCCAACAATGAAGAGTGAATGTAATATAAAAAGCCAACAATGAAGAATGAATGTAAGATAAAAAGCCAACAATGAAGAGTGAATGTAAGATAAAAAGCCAACAATGAAGAGTAAATGTAATATAAAAAGCCAACAATGAAGAATGAATGTAAGATAAAAAGCCAACAATGAAGAGTAAATATAATATATAAAGCCAACAATGAAGAGTGAATGTAAGATAAAAAGCCAACAATGAAGAGTAAATCTATATATATAAAATTGAATGTCTGTCTGTCTGTTTGTTTGTTTGTTTGTACTCTATAGATTCAAAAACCATACATCCAATCGCCGTGAAATTTTGGGATATTATTAGGTATATCACCGGGAAGGTTTTTGAAAAATAATTTCATGAATATCTTGAATAACCTTAGAGTTACTTGCAGATTTGTAGATTTAACTCGCAAGCAGCGCCCCCATTGTGACGATGATAACAAGTTTTCTTATCACTAAGTTTGTTATCTTAAATATTATTTATCAAAAGTAAGATTATCTCAGGATGACACGGCAATTTATTTGCGACAAGAATAATGATACAATTCCAAGGCGAAGATACTATTCCTTTAACTTCCAATTACCGAGGGAACCAATTAATATTGATTTTATTCAACTTATCGAGTATTTCTCAAGGGACCGGGAAAAAATGTTCACTAGATAAAACTATGATTTTCTAATGAAGAAAATTAGGAAAGACAAAATTCAGGATGACAAGGCACACAGGGACCGGGAAAAAATGTTCACTTTATCGAGAGATTCAAATTTACGAGTTTCAAATTATCAAAATATATATTTTTTATTTTTTTAATAAGTTTTTAGAGAATTGTTTTAACAAATGTTCGTTAGACAAATATTCACTCGGGTAAAACCCGGGCGAAGCCGGGCGGGTCCGCTAGTATTTATATATTTTATATTTTCAAAAACGTAAAACTATTTTTTAAACAGATTTAAAACAGTTGCAATAGTTTGTTGATATTAACCAAAAGTCCGAGAGGCCATATATATTGTGATAAAGCAATAATTTATTACATTCTTTTTGATTTATTTAATTGATAATTAAAATATAAAGGAATAAATTATTTCTTTGTCACAATATATATGACCTCTTGGACTTGTGTTTAATATCAAGTTGCTAGTGAAATGATCAACACAATCCAACAAAAGAGAAGGTATAAAACTAATGCAACAACACCACTCAAAATTCCAAGCAGACTAACAGCACCACGTTGTGTGTTCGCTCTATTTTCCCAAAGTCCTACCTCAAAACTTAAATTGACAACATTCCTTACTAACCGCCGTCACCCTTTTTTTTAGCCTCGGAAACATTTTTTTTTTACCA